TCTTTGGCCTTTGTTCCAGGTGAAAACAGGAAGACCTATCAGAGGAGGAAATACATCACAAGGAGAAGGAGCTTAGCGGAACTGACAGCAGAAGGGAATCACTCCGGAGAAGGCGAATCCATCTCTCCGAGGGCAGCGGCGGCAAGCCTTGAGCCGCCACGCCATGGATGAGAATTTTAAGCTGGAATTGTAGGGGATTCGGCCAATCCCTTACAAGAAATTACTGCGGTAGGCTGTGCCGTCAGTTTGGCCCGTCAGTTCTCTTCCTAATGGAAACCAAGAAGGATGAAAACTTCATGGAGGACAAAAGAAGAGCACTGAAATTCGACTTTGGCGAGTATGTTAACCCAGCAGATGAAGGGAGTGGTTTGGCTTTATGGTGGAAGGAAGATGTGAATGTTAGCGTGCTGGATAGATGTAAATCCTTTATGGATGTATGTATTAGTAGGGAAGGGGAAGACTTCTTTTGTACTTTTGTCCATGCCCCCACCACGACGGTGGAGAGGAGAGCTCTTTGGGATCGACTTACGATCATCAGAGACTCCCATGATGTTAGTTGGTTGATTGTAGGCGACCTTAATGTCGCATTGTACCCTTTTGAAAAATAGGGGAGATGTCCCCTGCGGAATGAGAATGTCGACCCCTTGAAGTACTTCATCGCGCAGAATGCACTTTTCGACCTTGGTTTCTCAGGATCAGTGTTTACTTGGTCTAATAATCAGCAAGGAGCAGAATTGATTAGAGAAAGAATGGATAGAGGGCTTTGCTCGGCACAATGGAGACTGAATTTTGAAGCTGCCAAGGTCTACCATGAAGACTTTGTTGAATCGGATCATTGTCCGATCCGAATTGATTTGCATCCCAAATTACAAGATAGGGATACACCTTTTCGGTTTGATAAAAGGTGGAGGGAAAACGGGGAATGCACTCAGATCATTGATAGGCTTTGGAGGGGAGGGGACAAGGTGGATGAAACTCTCAGTCGTTGCCGCCAAGAAATCCAGAACTGGGCAAAAATGGAGAGAGCAAAAAAATTAAAAAGAGAAAAGGAAATCAGAAGAAGATTGCAAGAGTTAAAAGGGCCGACGAGAAATGCTGAGAGTATTGAGGAAGAAAAACTGCTCCTAAAAGAGTTAGAAGCTATCTGGAATCTTGAAGAAGAATTTTGGGCACAGAGATCCAGAAACAGTTGGCTTCAAGAAGGGGATCAAAACACTGGCTTTTTCCATGCGAGCACAATCAAACGACGAACCAGGAATCGAATCGACAGACTGAAAGATGGTACGGGGAACTGGTTGAACCTGGAACAGAATCTTGAAGGACACGTGAATGGGTTCTATTCTGCACTCTTCACTAGCAGAAATGGTACTTTCGACTCTACCCTACTCAACGATTTTCCAGTGCTGGTTACACAAGAGACCAACCGTTTGCTAAATACTAGTATTGAGAAGGCTGAAATAAGAAAAGCAGTTTTCCAGCTCGGGGCCAACAAAGCACCAGGACCGGATGGATTTCCAGGCCACTTCTTCAGACAATATTGGCACATTGTGGGTGATAAACTATGTGAGGAAATATCTAATTTCTTCAGTTCTAATACCATGCCATCTGATTGGAATGACACGTTCATCACATTGATCCCTAAAGTTGGAGCACCAGAAATCATTGGTCAGTTCAGGCCAATAAGTTGCTGCAACTTCCGGTATAAGGTTATCACGAAGATCATGTCTAATAGACTTCAGCCTCACCTACCAGGACTGGTGAATGAGCTACAATCAGCATTTACAGGGGGAAGGCAGATTCAAGATAATATTGTGATAGTTCATGAAGTCCTTAACCATCTCAAGAAACACAAGGAAGGCCAGCAAAAGCACATGATGATGAAATTGGACATGAGGAAAGCCTACGACTTGGTGGAATGAGACTTTCTCATTGAGCTACTCAAAGCCTATGGATTCAATGACACTTGGTGTGGATGGGTCAGAGCCTGTATTGATTCAGTGAAATTCAGAATCCTTTTCAATGGAAAACCTTCAGAGGAGTTCACCCCTACCAGAGGCATTCGTCAAGGGGACCCTCTATCCCCCCCTTCTCTTCATTCTGATGTCCAATGCCCTATCCTTCCTGATTGAAAAAGCTGTTCTAAGAGGTGATATTAGAGGCCTCAAACTCAATAGGACATGCCCTACACTCACTCATTGCCTCTTTGCTGATGATACAGTCATCTTTGGAGAAGCTTCAACTTCTGAAGCAGCAAAGCTTCTGGGGATTCTCAACGATTATGGATCGATAACAGGACAGGAAGTCAATAGAGAGAAATCCTCCTTCTTCTTCAGCCGGAATGTGGCAGAGGATGAAAAAGAAAGAATCATTCAGACGGTGGGATTTGCAGAGTCGAACTGTCACTCAAGCTACCTTGGGGTTCCTACTGAATGGGGAAGGTCAAAAAAGGAAACCTTCCATTTCCTCATACAAAGAATGGAAAGCAAATGAGAGTCCTGGAAAAGCCTACTTCTTTCACCAGGAGGTAAGGAAACACTCCTAAAGGCTGTTTTTCAAGCTCTACCTTCCTACGTTATGTGTCTTTTCCTCCTCCCAAGATCTGCCACCAACAAAATGGATTCCATGCTCAAGAATTTCTTCTGGGGAGCTAACATATCGAAGCGTTCCATACACTGGAGAGCGGGACATGTCCTGTATGCACCTAAAGAAGAAGGGGGATTAGGGTTCAGACCTTTCCACACCTTTAATCTGGCTCTTCTTGCGAAACAAGCCTGGCGTGTCCTGACCAGCCCAAATGCACTATGGGTTAAGGTTCTCAAGAGCATTTATTTTCCAAGAACAGACTTCCTGTCAACAAAAAAGGGTAGCAAAGCTTCCTGGATCTGGGCCAGCATTTGGGAAGCGAAGAGCTGGATATAGAAGGGAGTAATCCGAGTGATCGGTAATGGAGAAACAACGAAAATGTTCCAAGATCCCTGGCGCTTTGATCGTCCAGGACCCCTCATTCACCACAGGGCTAATGATTCGACAAAGGCGGCCATGTTCATCAATGCTATCACTCGAGAATGGAACTTTGACCTCTTGGCAAGCTTCCTCCACCCAAATGACATTCTCCTCACGGCTGGCACACCTATTGGACCTGCCACAATGGCTGATTTCTGGGCATGGAGACTCTCTGAACAAGGTATTTTCTCGGTTAAGTCTGCATTCCACCTCATTCACAATCACTCGCGCAGATGCCAAGGGGAGGTAAATCCTTTCCCGGAAGCAGCTAAAGAAAAATGGAAGTGGCTGTGGAATTTATCTCTCCCCCCAAAGTTGAAGTTCTTCGTATGGAGATGTGCAAAAAACGCAATGGCCTCGAAAGAGAATCCGTTCGTGAGGAAATGCTCCCCATCCAAAGCTTGCCCCCTGTGCTAGGGGTGGGCATTCGGTCGGTTCGGTTCAAACCGAACCGAAATTATGTATACCGGGTCCCCGAATTCTAGCAAACCTCAAACCGAATTCGAACCGAATTATAATTCGGTTCGGTCGGTTCAAACCGAATTATAGTTCGGTTCGGTTCGGTTTTTCATACAAAACCGAAATAGTGAGGTTAGCTTGTATCTTCTCTTTTTAAAATTATTTTTCACCCATAATGTGAACAATAAATATGCATCATCAATGATAAAATCAAACATTTCAACACATAAGTCATAAAACACTAACATGATTCAAATATTTAAGTCACATAATAAGTAGAAACATAAAAATCCACCATTTAAAGCTTGCAATTATAATAATTCGGTTTTTCGGTTTGGAATTCGGAAATTCGGTTCGGTCGAAAGGACCCTGATTTCCGAAATATGCCCTTTTCTTTTCTGAATTCCGAACCGAATAACATTAATTCGGTTTCGATTCGGTTTATATTCGGTTCGGTTCGGTTAGGTTCGGTTTTACCGAACCGTATGCCCACCCCTACCCTGTGCAACTACCCAACTGAATCAATTCACCATTGCATCTTCTCATGCCCTCACGCAGAGACAGGGTGGAGCAACGATTGGTCAGGACTTGGTCTCCCGCCTCCCCTAACCAACATCTTGGACTGGTTGTTCTCCCTTCAGTCAAGACTCTCAGGTCTCTTGATCCAACGTATCATCTTCCAGATGTGGCAGACCTGGAAGTCTAGAAATGATCGGATCTTCTCAGGTATCCTCCCCTGGCCACCCAGCACGACCTCCAGAGCACAGATTGCATATCACCAATGGATAAATTGCCCCAAGAAGAATGGAATTCTCCACCCCCACACTCAGCACAACCCACCCCCTGATTGTTCCTCTCCACCGCCGAGTACTCATGACTTTGAGATACACTGTGACGGATCATTCTTCGGTGATTCACAGGAGGCGGCTTTTGGCGTCGTTGTGACGAATAGCCACGGACAGGTATGTGACGGGAAGGCTGAGTCAACGCATTGTTTTTCACCACTTGAAGTAGAAGCTAAGGCACTCTGGGAAGGAACGCGCATGGCCGCCTCACTGGCAGCACCATGTAGGATACTCACTGACTGCCTCTCCCTAATCAAGGCACTTTCCAGCAACCAAGAGTGTTGGCCATGGCGAGCAGCTGTGTGGATCGCCCACATCAAGAACCTGGCCATCATTCACCCTGCTATCCGGTTCGACTACATCAACAGGAAGAAAAATTCCAAAGCGAACTGGGTAGCTCGCTCTTGTGCAAAAAATCAGCTACCAAGGGAATGGATTCATGTCCTTGATGTAATTTCGCCACTTCTGTAACCTATGCTTTTGCTGAAAGAAATGAAATATCTTTGTCCTTTGTCAAAAAAAAAAAAAAAAAGTGGAACACATTGACTTCCCGCCAGTAGCTGACACACAGACTCTCCTCCAAAGAGAATGCACAAAAGAGTGTCAGGTGAATAGTAATATTAGGTCCAAATGAATTGGAATTTGCATCTGTGTGAATAGGAAATTGTATCTATGTGTGCAGTGTCTGTTGTTTTGAGCTATTATACTTTGAATTATCGAGGAATCGTGTCACAACTTCAGATTCTTCAAATTTCAGCCACATGAATCGTCGGTAGCAACTTCAAACGTGTAAAATGACGAATTGAATTCCTTCCTCTACCCCGCCCACTCCCTCACTCGCCTCCATCCTCTAATCATGGCGCATTTTTCATATCCCCCACCGACATTACCATCCTCTTCTGAGATCCATTAAGCTGCTTACTTCACTGACTACACGCCCTGCAAAAACCAAAGCAAGAAGCAACTTCTAGCTAGTCCCCTGAACTCAGTCCTCCAATGGAGTCTCCGAACCCATCTACCGCCGGGAAGCCAATTAGATGCAAAGGTACAATTACAAACCAACAACCAATGTACCCATCTCTCTGCCGGAATGTTGAACTAATAATCAAACCTTGTTTGTAACTTTTCCATGTAGCTGCCGTCTGCCGGAAAGCAGGGGAACCGTTAGCAATTGAGGAGATAAATGTCGACCCGCCGCGTGCCCGCGAAGCTCGGATTCGAGTCATCTGTACTTCCATCTGCAACACGGACGTCAGCTTCTGGAGAATGACGTCATCCCCGGGCGGCTTCTTCCCCAGAATCCTCGGCCACGAAGCCGTCGGAGTAGTGGAGAGCGTGGGCGAAGGCGTGACAGAGTTGAAAACAGGGGATACCGTTGTCCCTGTTTTCCTTCCCGATTGCGGAGGAGAATGCGCCGATTGTAGATCGGAGAATAGCAATTTATGTTCCAAACTGCCGTTCAAGCTCTCTCCGGGGATGCCCAGAGACGGTACCAGCCGGTTCGCCGATCTTCGAGGGAATGTGATTCACAACTTCCTCTCTGTTTCCGGATTCAGTGAGTACACGGTTGTGGACGTTGCCCATCTCACTAAGGTTGATTCGTCGGCGCCTCCGGAGAGAGCTTGCCTCCTCAATTGTGGAATTGCCGCAGGTAAAGTTCTTTTTCAGCTCGTTGATTTGATGCCTCGCGTACCAAATACCTGTATAGAATGCGGTGTGTTTGAAGTGAAATAGTTACTAGCTAGATTTAGTTTTTATGAATTAGGTGTTGGGGCTGCTTGGAGAAAGGCGAATGTGCAGAAAGGGTCGACCGTTGCAATCTTCGGCCTCGGGTCTATTGGTTTGGCTGTACGTTGGAAGCTTTATCACTCACTTCTGCTTGAATGTTACAAGGAATGATAATTCGCCTGCAGATCTCAATTGTGTGTGTGATTCAACATTGCAGGTTGCCGAGGGGGCAAGACTTTGTGGTGCTGGGAGGGTTATTGGGATCGATGCATACCCAGAAAAGCTCGAGATGGGTGAGAACAAAATCACCTAGCTAGCTTAATTTGGAGAGCGTTATGAACAGAGGATGTCTCCCGTTTCTGTCCTTTTCCCCTATTGAGAGTTTCACAAACAATGCAGCGAAGAAGTTTGGAGTCACAGAGTTTGTCAATCCTGTTGATTGCGGAGATAAGTCGTTGAGCCAGGTTTGTCATCTTAAAACTCCTGAAAATTTTGAGCTTGAGGAAAGTGGACGTTTGATCTCGAAATTATGGGAACCTAAATTGAAATGATCTCATCGTCAGGTGATCAACGAGATGACTGGAGGAGGTGCAGACAGTTGTTTTGAATGCGCCGGTTCCCCATCTTTAATGGAGCAAGCCTATGCTTCCTGTCGAAAGGCATGTCTCTCTCTCTGCAACTCTGTTTCGCTACCATAATTACTCTGTTTTCGTTTCTCGCCGTTCTTACTCTGTTTAACAAAGGTTTGCTATCAGGGATGGGGGAAGACGATCGTGCTGGGAGTAGGAGGAGAAGGGTCAGAGATGAAACTGAAATGCATGGACGTTCTCCAGAGTGGGAGGACACTTACGGGAGCTCTATTTGGAGGCCTCAAACCCAAAACCCACATCCCAATTCTGCTGCAACGTTACATCCACAAGGTTTTGATCACTGCCATTTGCCTTTCTGCATCCAAGTTACTCGTTTGATTGATTGATTGGTTTCTCGATGGTTTTGTGAATCCGTTTTGCTATTTTTTTTGTTGTTGCTGTTTTTGGGGGATTTTCCCTATCATTGATCAGGAGCTAGAGCTGGACAAGTTTGTGACGCATGAGATGGAATTTGAGGATATCAACAAGGCCTTTGATCTACTAGTTGAAGGGAAGTGTCTCCGTTGTGTGATTTGGCTGTACCGCCCAGACCAGTCGGCTGCCTGCTTAATGCCCCGTGTTGTGTGATTTGTTTTGAAACAAATAGTTCATGGAGTGATTTGAATGCTGTAAGCCTGTAACAGAGGTACTTAGGGTTTGAGAAAGCTCTAAATCCATTAAGGTGTAACATTATACTACAATAACTAGATTAAGGTCCGATTCACTCGTCGGAAGAACTTAATTTAATAAGTGATATCTCTCTCATGCGATTATTTAGAGAAAAAAAAGTTAGATACTCTCATAATTAAGTGATATATTCACATTAGCAATATACCAAAAGATTATGTTAGTGAATTAAAGAAGGTAGCAAATATGTTAGTGAATTATGGGCTCTCAATATTTCATTTTTGCCAAGTAACCCAACCTCCTATTAGAAATTAATACTATTATCATTGTTTTTCACAATTTATCTGGATCTTTGTTGCTTAATACTGAAATTGTAGCCGGAAAATGTGGTATGAGAAAAATAAGTGATCTATCTGTTCATATCTCTTAAGCATTCCATCTAAAGCTAATTTTGCATGGTATTGACATATTATAGTGAAATAATATTCACATACTTAGGTGATTTAAGTCTCTTTAGTACACTGACTTGTATGAACGGTTTTGTTTGGAAAATTCTTAGCTCCAACCTTGGTTGGACGCAGAAGCTACAACCAAGCCACACGTCAAATTCCTATTAGTGAGTTTATCTTTATTTTTAATATTATAATTACTGATTTATTTAGCATAATTAAGGATATTAAATATTAATAAAAAAGGAAGGCAGCCGACCAATAACAAACTAACACGTGGCTGGTTGAAGTTTCTGCATCCAACCTTGGTTGGAGCTAAGAATTTTCCTGTTTGTTGGTTATTGCACATGCAAGAAGGGGCTCAAGATAGGGTAAATAACCATGGGTTATGCATCATGGGTTATGCATCCATTAATAACCAAATATGGACCCTTCATTTAGAAAATCCAGATCTAAGGCTAACTCCAATGGAGCCTCTATAAATGGGGGAGCCTCTATATTTGGGAGAAAGTTGGCTCCAATGGAGCCTCTATAAATGGAGGAGTCTCTATATTTGGGGGAGATCTCCAAAAGGATTCCCAAATTTGGGGGTGGAAATGGGGGTTCCCCCAAATATAGAGACTCCCCAAAGCCCGCCACGTGGCGTTTCTTTTTCTTTTTAAGATTTTAAGGGTTAATTGAGGTTTAATTAGGGGATTAGTTAGGGGTTTAATTAGATCAATAATTTTCAAGTGTTGTGTGTAAACCCAAATTAGGTCAATCATTTTTTGTCAACAAAAATTTGGTCTCAAAATTAAACAAATTTCTACCGGAAAATTTGTATTTAAAAATGATGACGAACTATACAAAAATTAACATGAACAAATTATATTAAGGCTTCGAAAAGTACATTTTTAAGTAAATGGAAAACTTAAAAAATGGAGATCATCAAATATAGAGGATGTAGCATTGGAGCAAAAGAAGGGAAAATGGGGATGAATAAGGGTGTTCAAACGGTTTGTTTACCGTGGTAACCGTTTTAACCAGTACTATTTGGATAATTGGTTTGGTTTGGTTTGGTTAAAGTTTTTAGCTTGTTTGGTTTAGGTGGTTTGGTTTGGTTTCAGACACTCCTAACCAGTCAAACCAAATTAACCAGTTAAGTAATTAGTCATATATGTAACATATATTATATACACATACTTAATACTTTGCATAACCACTCAAGAGTTAACGTTCATCCCGTTTAGACTCATAAAATATAAAGCTCAATATTGCTCATATAGTGTATATTTGTATATGTAAAGTGTAGACCACAACATATGGACGTCTAATTTAGATAAATTTCATACATTATGATGGATGAAAACTTGAAAGGAATGTCATTTCCAGCTTCTGATAATTGCTAAGATACTAAGTCAATTTACACAAACACAACAATTCATTAACCCATACCATTGTCATAAAATTTTGTTAGGTGAATACTTCTATACTAATCGTAAGATAATTGTCTTAGTTGCATGTATTTTTTTTAGGGTCAAATATAACTACGTGTTGATTGTTATGTTTTATTCATTATATAAATTACGAATTGTTGCATTAACCGGAAAATTTTCATCGTCAATGATAATATGATTTTATATTGCTGAATCTGGTTAACCAATTAACCAAACCGATTAAACTTTAGTTTGGTTAATTTGGTTGTTGTATTAGTTTGGACGGTTTGGTTATGATATTGTATTCCATGGTTAATGGAATTTAGCCTTATTTGGTTTGGTTATAACCATGGTAACCATTTGAACACCCCTAGGGATGAACCCCAAAATTGGGAGCTTGCATTGGAGTTGGTCTAAGGATGTAGAATTAAAGACCATTTTTTATTTTCCCTAGCTTTCTTAATCGGCTCATATCTTTTTTGTTTTAACTCGGATTTTAATTTTTTTTGCACAGGTGGAACGAGTTCATCCTGCTCTACAAAATGAGATCAATTTTCAATATTTTTTAGAACAAAAAAATTCTGGCCTCTCGGTACCAACTGCATACCATATGGTATTTTCTTCATTTTTAATTCGTTTTTGAAAACGTTTGCACAGAAGGGACGAGTTCATCATGATCTATTGGATCTACAAATTTCTAGGTGAACAAATTACAGGACCAAAAAATACCACACAATATCATACAATACCACCCAGGTACGGGGTGGTATCTTATGGTACACAATGTTAAAAGTCGTAAATGACAATTAATATATTCCTACTATCATGTATTCAACCATCCTACAGTCTTGATTTGTTCGTACCACCATGATACGCTTTTCAAACCATAGGTATGCTCTTATTTCAATACCAGTCAATACCATATGGTATAGACTCGTAAAAAATGGCTCAATTTTTTTGTTCGAAAAATATATCAAAGTGGATATCATTTTGAAGAGCACAATTAATCTGATATAACTGTGTAAAAAAATTAAATTTTGACTTAAAACAAGTGAGAAATCGTCCGTCAAAGATTAAGGAGGGAAAAATTAAAGCTTTTTAAGGAGAGAGAGGGATGCTGATGTCATGCTGATGTGAACAGGTTACTCATGGTTACTCACCATAAGGTTACTGACCTGATCCGTTCCCACAAAAAGGTAGGATGTCAATTTGCGCGAGTGCCCCTTCACCATATAAAAAAAGTCTGGTTAGTTGGTTAGACTAGTTAGAGTCTATGAACAAATCAACCACTTAAATCACACTCAATAAGAATTTTTATAGAACCTAACTGGTAAGGCAAATTAACATAATCACAATTAATTATACGTGTCTGGTTGATGCGATTCCCTATGGTACAAGACAATTCATTTGTGCATGAATACTGTTTTGCCCCCAAGATATGCCAAGAAGGCGCAAACAAAAGGAATCACATTATAAAACCGAGAACAACGACATACAGTAATTCGTATGCAATTGAACTATCGATGAAAGAGCCTTTTATTTTAAAACATATCAAAGAGCATCATTATATGAATCTCCTTAAATTAGATTTTTCTGTGGAAAAAGAATTAAAATCTTAGGTGAAAGGAGGAAAAAATGTGGAGCATTTATGATTGATAGGGGAAAATGAAGGGGAGAGAGCATGACATGAGTAGCATTTTGGTTGACTAGAAAATTGATTTAGTTTATTGTTATTTTTAATTATTAAGAGTATATTTTGTCTCTCCTTTAATCACTCTTGTTATGATATTTTTGAAATGGAAAAAAAATTGTTATAATCTCCATTAGATTGTTTTCATTGATGTATAGCGAGACTATGTAAGTTTTTTAGGTTCACTGTCTAAATATATTATTCATAAAATTCCATGATTTTCTTCTAGAGTCTAGGGATGGGATTCACAATTCATTTTGTAGCCATGGGATACGTTCTCTCTCCTATTTTTTTTTTTAAATCAATGGTTAAGATTAAACGAAGGGTATTTTTGGAATGGAAAAAATTTACCACACTTAATCATAGACCCCTCATATAAGTGAAAAAACCTTAACACCTCCCTCTCTCCCGCAAACGGCTTTGCCCCCCCCCCCCCCCAGTCGTGGAATGCTGCACACCGTGCTCTCCACCGCCACCGCCTCCACACCATCTCATGACCCTCCGCCTCCCTCCACCGTCGCCGCACCGTCCCATGAACCTCCGCCTCCCTCAACCCTCGTCCAGTGATCCTCCTCTGCCTCACTCCACCTCTGTCGCTGCCATCTCTCTCCTGTCGCCCTCCTTTACCGCCGGCCTCATCCACTGACGTCGTCGTCGCCTCCTTTGCTCGCCTCTTCCGGTGTGTATCCTTCTGCCACTATACTCTTCCTTTTCTCCCCTTCGTTTTTCATATATGTGATTTTTAGATTTTTATATCTGATTTTTTTAGTGGTAGTGATTTTCTTCTGGTAGTGGTACCAAATGATAGTGGTACCAAATGATAGTGGTACGCCATCACTACCAGCTACCTGCAGATGGTAGTGGTAGCTGTACTGGTAGTGGTACTAGTGGTGGTGGTAGCGTACCACTAGCGCACTGACGGAGTGATAATTTTTTTTTTTGATAATGTTGATATAGATTAAATAATAAACGTAGTAGTTACAAAGAAGGAAGGAAAAAGAAACCCAGCTCTAGGAAGCCAAACAGACAGCGACCAAGATCAAAACTGCAGCATAGAAAAAAAACCCAGAAGGCAACCACCAGCAGAATGTGCAGGTGGCCGGAGCGATTCTAATTTAAAGGATTTGCCGGAGAAAGTATGTCGGTCGGAAAGTCAGGCGGTCAGAGTGGAGTGACTGTTGGAAAAGAAAGAGAGAGTTAGGAAGAGAGATAAATGTATTTATTGTAGGATTTAAATTAAAAAAACAAGTATATAATATGAGTTTTTAATTCCCAATGTGTAAATAATACAAAAAAATATTTAATAAATTCATTTTTTTTGTCACACCCAAAATTAGGGGTGTACATGGGTCGGGTGGTCCGGGTTGAGGCATTTTAATCACCCGACCCATGCACTACGGTTTGGGAAATATTAAACCCAAACCCACCCAAAAAAATCGAAACCCTACGGTTTGTTTATTATTGGGTTGGGTCGGGTTGACGATATTTTTAAGTAAAAACCCAACCCAACACAAAATATGTAATTATTCTACATCATAAAAATATTTTATAACAAATTAAAAATTTAAACGAATAAACCGAGGTGAAAGGTATCAAAATTCACAAATATTGTTTGAATTTTAATAGAACTTGATTTACTTCAACTTATGTCTAGTTTTTTCACGACATTTGTTGAAATAGGCTAAACACGCATCCATAATATGATATTCTTTTAAAATTGTACACAAGAAAAATACGTGAATCATAGCTATATTAAATATATGTATAAACTTTAAGTCGAAGAATGCATTAGATTAGTGAGACTTTAAGAGAAAAACATGACGAAATATCTTAATTTTCTCATAAGTATGACTATATACGGCATAAATATTTTTTTGGATATGAACTCATATCAATAATTGGAACACGGGTTGGGTCGGGTTCTACGGGTTGTGTAATCCAAAATCCAAACCCAACCCAAAAGAGGCGGGTTGTACAAATGAAAACCCTCACCCAACCCAAAACCTTCAATTTAGCGATAAATACGGGTGGGTTGGGTCGGGTTGGACGGGTGGGTCGGTTTGCGGGTGTGTTTGTTCACCCCTACCCAAAATGCTCTTGATTGTGAATCTCACAACCCCTTAGAGGAAGTGAGCATATCCCGCCCCCAGAATCTATCCGCTCTTTTTTGCACTTATAATTTGTAACAACCTCATATGACTGAACCCTCATTTTCTTATTGAACATATAACTTTAATTTTTTGAAATGAATATTACATTTATACCATTTGTGAATTTGAAAGTGAATAAAAAAATTAGTTTGTATAATAGCTGAGAGTGGAATAAAAATAAAAGGTCTACAAGAAATTAGTGGGCAGTCTAGATACAATCTGGGCTCTCACTCCCTTAGCAGCAACAAAGCTAAGTCTAGTGAAAATGTACGCGACCGCCCGAGCCCCCGCATCCTGAGACACGGAGAATTTCTGGATGTGCTTAAGCAAAGCCACAGCATCCGAATCCAACTCCCCCAGCGAAGAGAAAGAAAAGGGCAGGAATGCGTAACCAGCCGCCATGCACAAGTCCAGATACTTAGCACACTTTCGCCGAGCGGCATCAGCTACAACTCGGCCGGGCACAAAATCGGTCATCCAGTTTGAGTCAAAGGGGAAGACCCAGTTAGATCAATACACACATCTCGCCCCCTATCCCAGGAATAAAGCAGCAAATCCGCAGGACGAAGGGGTCCGCCATAACCATCAACCAAATCGATATCAACCTCCTTTCCGACAGAAATCCCAGACCTGTAACAGATGTCGAGTAAGGTGTCTCGAACGAGGTTATGCCGATGCTTAATGCCCACAATACCAGCACATGACACAACATGATCCCAAAGACATCACCATCATATGATTGGAAATTTGAAATCCGTATGATTTCAAAACATTATAAAGTTGATATTATAAAACATAGTGAGGGCAATATATGTTGTCCCCGCCACACAATGGCGGACCCACGTGTGTTGGACACCCCTAAATTTTGGGAAACGATTATACAACTCCCGGTGGAAATTTACGAATGAACAAAAAAATTATAATTGATAATCGGGGACACCCTTAAAATTTGAAAAAATGATTATACTACTCTTATCTTTTAGTTTGCATATGAGAATATAAGTGGTAGTTTGGGTAATTCAAACATAAGACATTATTATTATTAATAAACATAATTTCCACTAGGCTACAACCCATTTGTTGTTCTATTTAAACACTGTGTAATAGTAAAATGTCCTTCCCTATTTCTATTTATTTTCAAAACTTAACAATTAAATAAATTTCAAACTACCCTTAATTTGTATTTATTTTATGGTTGTACGACAAGTGTTGAAAGAGTCTTTTCAACTTTGGATTACATTAAGAACAAGTTTAGAAATCGAATATGTGATCAATTCGCGAATGATTGTCTAGTATGATAGAGACAATTTTTTTGAGCACTGTTCCGCTTTTTTTACTACCCAGGGCTTCGATACATTTCGAAATCGAGAAATTTCTACTGGAGCCGGTGCTATTCGGGAACAATTAGCCGATCTAGACAACAAGTGTGTTCTACAATTATTTCCGAATATGAAAACACATCGTTGATCTTTTTTAAGTTGTATGAGTAAGGTATTTTCTTATTTAAGAATTATTTATTATTTATTTATTTAATTTTTAAAAGAGGGCACCCTTATGTAAAATTTCTGGGTCCGCCATTGCCGCCACATCATTGTTTGTGGTTTGATATTCCCAAAATACCCTATAATTAATATTTATATATGATTTTAATTACGGAAATGTTATACAAGTGAAGATAAGAGATACTTAAGATACGAATCAAGAGTTCTCCTTTAATTTCCAGGGTATAGATGGGGTGCTAAGCGCATCCTAGGCAATGCCATGAGTGGTGTGGCTAGTGAAAGATGATCCTCAGCTTCGGCAAGGTCGACAGTCTTGGCATTCTCTGGTGGCGTCCATGCGAAGCACTGTAGCAGTCTGGCAAGCAGTATGGTGGTCATACAGGTTCCCAACACTGTCGCCAAACATCCTCGCCTGCCAGTGCTAAACGATATGAACCTAAGATCGTGCTCTGTGAGGGCCACCTCAACGTCACTGCCATCTCTAAGGTGTCGTTCTGGGTCGAATTTGAGCGGGTCGACCCATACCTTGGGGTTGCGACCGAGACCGTAGCGACTGAGGAGGGCGTGACTGCACTTTGGGATAAAGTAGCCACCCACGATGGTGTCTTGGGTGGCTACGCGTGGGGCGTTAAAGGGTGCCAAAGGGTGGAGTCGGAACGCCTCCCTGGCACATGCCTTTACATAGTTTAGCCTCTCGATGTCTGACTCTTGGACCAGTCGCTTGTCTTTTCCCACAACCTTATCGATTTCATTCGTCGCCTTTGCCATGAGATCTGGTTGGTTAATCAGCTCTGCCATTGCCCACTCCACCGCATTCGATGGGTTGTCTATTGCTGCCATCATCAGTTCCTGCACCAATTCAAAAGTTAAGTATGGAACGAATCATGTACATTTTTACGATCATCAGTTAAATCATAGTCATAAACTAACAGGTCCCAATAAGTTGAGTTGTTGAGAGAGGTCTATTATGTATAGTACTTAACCACTTCCTTACACACTCCTCCAAACGAAAGCCAACTCATGGAATTGAAATTTGCAGGGCTCATCATACCATCTGCTTTAAGACAACCGTCAACAACCGTTAATATTAACGGTTGTGAGGACTTGACCAGGTGACAACTTCTTCATTGACAAACCAACTCTGATACAATATCATAAATCAACTGATCTCGATAACTCAAATTCCTGTGAGAGGGTTGTTTATGGATCATTTCATATACCATGCAATCACAGGATATGGTGTTTGTTTGTTGATTTCATACCGTGGCTTGATTCTTGATTTCATGAGGAGTGAGCAAGGGTTCCCCGTGATCATCCTTGAGAGTGATGAAAACATCAACCAAATCCTCCATCTCCTTCCTCTCTCCACTCCTCCACTGCCGGATCCTCTCTTCAATAATAGGGTTTTGATAACGTTTGATGGTCTCATCCGCCGCTTTAATGACCTTCTCCTTCCCGTCGACGTCCCAACCTCGCAAACAGGGGAAGTAATCCGATAAGCACGACCAATGCAAGTAGTCCAATGCTGCAAACACCGCATCCACATGCAACACTTCCATCGGCCCCGGTCCTCCATCCGCGGTGGCATCGCCGAAAAACCTGTTATAGTATGAACAGTATCACGTACGTGTTAGTACCTGATATAAGATGTATAATTGAATATCTACAGAAAATTTGAGTTACAATCAATGCAGTCAAAAGCGCACTTTAAAAGTTAAAAAATTTACGGTTTTACGTTTTTATATCACCAAAATGCTTTGGTTTCCATATAAAATCGTCAGTGTATAAAATTAGACTAGACTGCGCTTTATAGTTTAAAAGCTTACGCTTTTAGTTCACCAAAACGCTTTACGCTTTTAGTTCACTAAATGAGTATTCTGTTCATGAAATTAATTATAAAGAGTATATTGTAAAGGTAAATCACTAACAATATGATAGATTTGAGATTAAAATATACATACCAAGTATTTGGATGTATTCTCAGCTTCAATAGAGTAATCTAATTCACCAGCTAGGCCCTTCCCAAATTCATTAGCATAGAGGCGAATGTGGCTTATTGTTAAGATTAGGACTGGCTATTTGGTCCGGGTTTTTTGGTTTTACCCAAAACCGGACCGTATAACCCGGACAGAGACCGGACTGGAACCAGATAGTAAACAATTCAATCCAATCTTTGGGCTTAGATTTGAGGTAAAAAAACCGTTCGAAACCGGATCGAAAAGTGGATAAAAACCGGATAAGAGAGCTCAACACCCAAAACTTAAGGGTAATTTGCATAGACTGTCACAAACCTTTGCACTTAGTACAAAACTTAACCAACTCCTCACCCTTTCAGGCCTTAGGCCACTCAAATCACCACAAGCTCAATATAAAATCAAGACCGAATTGGGACAAGACCGGACCGGATTAAGACCGGACTATATCCAATCCAATCTTTGGTTCTTATATTTTAAAAAAGACCGGACTGGACCAGATCAATTTGGGCCAATTTAACCGGACCAGCCCGTATAACCTCCCCTAGTTAGGATGCTATATAAGTTGCTCTACTTTATACATGAATTGCATGTATTTTATCAACTTAGCTCATATTTTACCTATATGTCGTACTTAACCGATTTTTAGTTATTTTACATAATGCGTACAATTTTATCTATTTTTCGCTTTTAGGAGCTATTGATTTTTACCGTCGTCCGAACATGATCTTCCTCATCACGTTGCCGCAGTAATGCCGCGTGGCGATCCTGAGGTTGACGCACTTCCCAGCCATGCAACGGCTGTTGACGTAGAAGACGAGGTTGTCGGCCTCCTCGGCACGCTTGTCGTGGAGCCACACGTGCCTGGCGGGGGAGACGATCTCGGAGGACAGCACCTTCCGCATTTTGCGCCACTGGTCGTTGTAGGGGACGGCGGCGGTGGTGACATAGCCGCCGCTGACGGCGTGGCTGCCGAAGGAAATGGGGCGGTCGGCGAAGACGGCGTCTTGCTTCCTCAGCATCTCCCTGGCGATGGCAGGGTCGAGGACGGGGATTATGTTGGCGGCGCCGCCGGCGGGGAGGCGGATGAGGCAGATGTCGGTGTTCATCTCCTTCATCACGTCGTGGACCCACCGGAACATGGGCTTGCTGTGGATTATTATTTTCGGGAGGTTGGCGATCACTGACCGCAATGGCGGGCTTGGAGGCGGTGGCGGGTGCTTGGCGACGGCGGCGGCGCGTTTTTTCTTGATGAGGGTTGTGATGATGATGGAGACGAGGATGACAAGGAGGGTTAGGGCGGCGGCGGCCATGGCTGGCGGCCGGCGGATGATTCTGGGAGTGGGAGAGGTTTATTAGCCACTTAATATTAGCTAGCTACTTGTAGCTAGAGCAATTATATATGCATACTTTCGTGTTGGTTTAGTTTATATAAAGGCCTAGCTATTAACAATTTATGTTAAATAATATGGAAAATTTTATGTTTGAAAAAAAGTGATGCATAATTTTAAGGAATGTCACCATGGCGAAGCCAGAGTATTTATCGTGTCATTCTTAAAATTCGTACAAGTATTTATCATTCGAAGATATATGGTTGTATATTCGGAATACAAATTTATGACTTTTAACTAAGTATAACAAAATTTGCTACCTAATTAAATTCAAAGCAATTATTGATTTTACGATGATTGAAATAGCCAAATAGGCTACAATATTGAAAATAACTTCATGTGATCGAGTTTTGATCATCTACAGTGAATGTATTTTATATTTTTGGGTATGCCTACTATGACATGCATGTCACCGTAACATGGACTTTTCGGTCGACCTAATCCTGAAGGCGGTCGGCCGAATTGACTAGTTTGGGCAGTACGAGAAAGCATTGCGGTCGATCGCACTTAGTTTAAGTTGTTATTTTTGGTCGACCAGAATAAAACCTCGGTCGGCCATTTCGTTGGCGTTAGAAACAACATGGTCGACCGTAAAGGTATATAGGTCGACCACTTGATGGCAGTCATTAACAAAATGGTCGACCAGATAAGAAAAGAGGTCGACCAGATAGAAGATAAGTGTTCTACCAATGTGTCCAATCATTTGACGTAAAATGAAGTTCAAGTGTTGGTTTCGAGGTCGACCTAATCCGGTACGAGGTCGACCGAATACAAGAAAGTCAACCTATGCCCCGTGTCTTTTTTGCTTATGTATGTCGATTTGTGTGGTTCTTTTGCTCGTATAAATTATGTTTCAAACCATCATAAATAGTCATAAATAATGATAACAATGACTCATCAATTCATAGCATAACAACTAAACAAACTAACAAGAAATACAATAAAACAGAAATCATAATTGTTCACACATAATAAAAAAACTAAAACAACAAAATAACAATCAACAATCGTTTTGACCACTTAACAATAAAAACATACAATCTAAAATCTTCGAGTTCCTACTCATGTCCCCTCTCTCCCTCATCCACATTTTCTTCGTATTTATAGAGATTTAATACGTGAATGGGTCGACCCAATTCGTTTTCTTGTCCAATTGTGGAACCTTTCTGCTGTTGGAATCCTTATCCAATACGGATACGGTGTGCATGCGGTCGACCACTTACTAATGAGGTCGACCTGATAGGTGCACAAGGGTCGGCCTATGAGGTATTTGGGTCGACCTTTCATTCTGTTATACCACCAAAGAGGTCGACCATTTTATGTAGACGGTCGACCGCTTCTGTGAACCTCACATAACTGAATTTGTCATTTCGGTCGACCGCCTTGAGGATTAGGTCGACCGAAAAGTCCATGTCACGGTGACATGCATGTCACCGTAGCAAAATCCTATATTTTTTTGTACAATATAAGAAAACACGCTGTTATTATGTATGAAAACGAACTTGTATCAAACAGATATGTTTTTATTTTTTAATGAACTCTGTTAGCCGGATAATAGACTTAGATTTTTCTGGCACCACTTATTTGAAAGGTTAGCTGCTGAATTAGATAGTGTAGGGCACTGCGTAGTCACTACAAAAGAAATGACTTTTGCCAAGGGTTCCATAGCAAAGGTTCTGTAACCCTTGCTAATTTTTTCGGAATATTCAGTAGCAACTTTTTTTTGAAAGGGTTCTGTAACCCTTGCTAACTCTTAAACCAAATTTCACCAGACGCGAGAACCCCCTATTTTCCCTTTTACATTTTTCGGTAGCAAAGCTTCTTTCCAAGAGTTCCATAACCCTTGCTAAGACTTGAACCAAATTTCAGCCCCTGTTCCATTTCTCGATACGAGCAGACCCCCTGTTTCCCTTTTGGTTCTCTTTTAGTTTATCAATTCAAAATATAAATAACAACAAAGCTAATCAAGGTAAATAACGATTCCTCTCTCCGGCTGTCTCCAGCTGAAAGGGCGATCGCGATCTTCCTCGCTCACTCCGCCGTCGATTCTCCAATCTTACTCGCTCACTCCGACCGGCGACTCTCCAATCGTACTCGCTCTCTTCGACCGTTGGTTCTCCGGTCTCCATCGCTCACTCCGGCGTTCGGTCTCCGATCTTCCTTGCTCGATTAGGTCTCCGTCGCTCGCTCCGGTTGAAAGGTGTCTTCTGTCTCCCTCCCTCGATTGCTCTCTCTCCCTGGCTCGCTCTCTTCTGTCCTCACTTGCGCTCTCCCTCTCTCGCGCGAGCGAGCTCGTGTTAGTTAGGTTACAGATGGAATCTCTTAGGGTTTGAATCATACGGCAATCGTTGTGCTGGTTTTATCAAATCTCTGTTTTAGTAGTTGCTTAGAAAAATGTGATTTGTCTTCATTTTCCTTGAGCTGTAGTATTCTTACTGTTGTTGGTAGGCCCTTGCTCTCAGTATATAGTAAGTTTCATGCATTAACAAGATTGCTGCAAAAAATGGAAGGCAAGATCCACCTAAGCTAGTTTCTCAACGTGGTTCCATTATTGCCTATGGACGTGTGATGATCACTCCTTATCCCCAGAGATTAATGGCTTCTGCCTAATGTTCATAATCTCTTAATTTTACCTTAACTATCTGAAATTATCCCATAAGTTGTTTTAACTGTCATGTTTCTCTTGTGTGGAAAAGGTAATTAAAATGGACAGTAAGAAAGTGCAGGGCAGTAGATAGAGAGCAATGAACTGAAAGAGACATAATTTGCTAGGAAGTTGTGTCAAAGCTATTTGTGATTGTTCATTTTCAAGGTTTTGTGTGATATAATGTTCTGAATTTGTCTTCCTGCTGTTGTTTTCATGACTACAGATGGTTTCAAGTTCAAGGAATCTAAGAAATTTGAGAATTGTTACTGAATCTGACGCTCAAGAGGGCTTTCAGCATGGACATTCATCGTCTCAACATGAGGAAGGGTCTGCTAGCACAGGTACTATATGGAATACAAAAACTTGTTGTGCTAGCATAGAAACCACTTTTTATTTATTGAACTTTCGTGGTCAAGAGAGTGCTTGTTCCTAGAATGGTTGAGTTAATTTCCTTTCCTTTCCTTTCCTTTCCTTACTAGCTAGCTTACTTACACAGTTACACCTCTTCTTTTCTTTACCCTTTGTGTTTAGTTCTTAATATGTTTCTAGTTTCAGAGGTTAATTGGGCATTTTGTAAACCTGCGGATGATGAGGCTTGCTTCCTTTAATTTGTACCATATACAAAAGCAATGAAGGAATCATCATATATTGCGTAAAATGAACATATCCTTTTAATCATTAGGGGGGAATCAAACAACAACCTTAGCGTAGCTTTTTGAAGAAAGTTACTCACTGCCACTAGCTATGGTGTGAAAATCTGAAGTTCTAGTCTCCCTACGTTTGTTTTATAGCAGGAAACAATCTGTTTCATGTATTAATTAGCTGAGACCATGATTCTATATTTGTCACCATTTTGTTTGTGAATGAACTTCCTCCCTGTTTCTGAATTGCAATATGAAAGTGGAACCTTTGTGCTAGTTGTTATTGTGGGTCAAAAGCTCGTTTTTCTGTGCCTTTTGCTTCTCTTGTATTTGATGGGATGGAGAATGAAGTAATTGTGGGGATGAATGAGACTGGAAAAACCTTGAAAGAGGTGAATTGAGGAGAAAGTAGTGGTTGTGGTAATACTGGTGAAAATGGGCCTGCTGTTGTAACTTTGCCTGAAGGAGGTAGTTCCTCTGTAGATAGCATATCTATTGATGTTGGAGTTAAAACTAAGGCAAATTCTAAATGAATGTCTTAGCAAAGTCTTAATTAATTTGTCATTTGGTGTCAGGGGAAAATGGCAGAAATCAGAAAACACGAGGAAAAACGAGGGTGCAAGATGTATGGAACATGGATGCAAGTGAAAGGATCGAATTGGAGATTGACGAATTTGGAGTTCCGTGTGGTGGCGAGCCATCTCTTTTTGCATCCTTTCTTGGGAGGATTGCAAAGAACAACACCTTGACTCCACTGTCGATAGAGCATTGGAAAAGAAGAGAGTTCAAACCATTTCACCGGCAAATACTGAAATCACCAAGGTAAAACTTCAGTTACGACTATTTAATTATGCTGTTTTTTATGATTGAGGGGGGGAGGGGGGGGGGGTAATTCTGGAAGCTTGTGTGTTTATGACTGTGTTTTGGGATTGGAAGATTGTGTATGTTCATGGAAATTATGTGTTCTTGCTGATCATGTTATGGCATGTGGGTGGATCTTGTTCGACTGGTCATTCGGGGGGGGGGGGGGGGGTAATTCTGGAAGCTTGTGTGTTTATGACTGTGTTTTGGGATTGGAAGATTGTGTATGTTCATGGAAATTATGTGTTCTTGCTGATCATGTTATGGCATGTGGGTGGATCTTGTTCGACTGATCATTCATGTGAGGATGCGACTGCTTTGAAAGAGAAGTTAACGGAGGTGAAGAAACACATGGAGGCCATGGCGAGGTTCATAAGTAGGCAGTTTCCCGGACAAAACTGGATGGAAGATCAGGTAATGTCCCATCTGTCTTTTTTCCTAGTCAATTACATCTGAATGTTTTTGGTTCTGTTTTTGATCCATACTCTGCTACTACATGCACCTGAAGGGTATGTTTTAAGTACAATTATTTGGAAGCACAATTGTTTGGCTGGTCATTGAAGGGGGGTTTAATAGTGAAAGAGAAGACATCATCTAGGGGGTACTGTGAACCCGATCTTGTAGTTGGTGAGTAGAGCGTCCATAGTTTCTTCGAATTCTGTTTTCTGTAATATGATTCGATATGTTGTGGTTGTTGCTATGTTTTCAGTTCGATAGATTTCGGGTTAATGGGTTTTGTATAAGTGAAAGAGAAGACATCATAGTGTTTTCAATTGGTCATAGTGGTAGTGGCTTCAGCTTGGGCTGCTGTTCATGGGTTTTCCTGTTTTGACTGAATGCCATAGGTCTTATTTTTGGAGTTGAGGGTGTCTTCTGTCTTCATTATCTGGTCCTCGTTTGGAGTTGATGTGCTACCCTAAGCCCCCCTTCCTTCTATTGCTGTATCGTGTCCACATTAAGTTGGTTACATACATGTTTTGGAGTTGATGGGAGGTTTTATTTCTATC